GGAATTTACTCTAGTTAGTTAGTTACTCTTACTCCTCTCCCCCTGTTTCTGCAATCACCTTTTCGGGCTGCTCGTCTCCTCTGCTCAACCCACCGTCGCTCACCGCTGCGCTGTGTCAATGAGTGTGTCTGAGTGCGTTCATGTGTGTTTGCGTGTGTGTGTGTTACCATCAGCTGCAGTAAACCTGATCACAGCACTTTAATGCAGTGTTAAAGTGGTACTGTATGGCGAAAAAGAAGCTCTGGTTTTGTTAGTTTGAAAGCTTGATGTGCTTTCTGTATGTGGCATTTCTGTGACTGTTGTATTCTAGCAGCACCCAGTCGACCAGTCTGCACAGGCTTGTGCAAGGCAGCAACTGCTAGTGGGTGCACAAGGGGAGCTCACAGCGAAAGGAGCAGTTGCTTCTGAAGCTCAGCATGTAGCACTGCACACACCATTACATTATGTCCCTATCCCATCATCTCTGTCAGTGTGTTTGTCTATCTCCATTACTCCCCTTTCTCCTCTCCTTTCCGCTGCCTCCTCTCTGGCATGTTTTTTTTCCTTTCGGGGTGTAGTAAATTAGAATGAAGCCCAGCCTTTAGTGCTCTGTCTGAGTCCTCAGTCTCTGATGACACAGCATCCTCCTGTTCTGAGCTGAGTGAGGAACGGATGGAGGGAGGGGAGGGGGGTTGAATGTGCTTTCACTGCTAGTCAGGTTGGTATTAAGAGGGAAGGTAGGGTAAGGGGTGGAAAGTGTTTGTTTTTTGTTTGCAGCACAGCATATGGGTAAGGAAGTGGGATGACGCAGTTTTTCTGATACAGGTGAATTAGCTTTGAGTCATTCATATTTAGATGTGACCGTCTGTCCGCTGAGTTTCGACGGCAGCGAATGAGCTATATTTGCTCACACTTAGTAATTAATTAACATGTCTCGTGAGATCAATGCTGGTTGGCCATAAAGGAAGTGCTATGGAAATAATACTTTGTCAAGTCTAACAATACTTTTACTTGACTATGTCCATACCAGGTACACTTTACAGATTGGGTTTTTGACCGTTCTTGCTTGCAAAAGTGGACCAGATCACAACAGAAATAATATCTACTTTGCCACTTTATTGTTTGGTCAGCATCTTAAAAGGGTAAAAAACTGCATGTTTGTCTGGTTTGGGTTAAAAATGATTCTAATGTAATCATTTGTGCATTTTTGTTTGATCTGCTTTATACATTTTTTATGTCCATCTTCTAATACATGCGCTGATCACAAAGACTTTATTGTAGTCAGTTTCATAAAGAAGTAATTAAGAGAAATATACCACCTCTTCCCTGCGACTTACTTACTATAATCTCCCCTTTAAGATTTCATTGAGCTTTCTTTGTTTCTCTCTCCTCCTCTTCTCATCTCTAAGTTTCTCTGCTGCATGCCTACCAATTCCTCCTACTCCTCCTCCTCCCTCCATCTACCCATCCATCTCAGGTTTGGCTCTCTCATCTCTGCAGCTCTTTGGCTTTCTGTTCTGCATCACTCCCCCTCCATCCTCTTATCTGTCTCTCTTCGGCTCTCTTTGCTTGTGTCCTGTACCTCCATGTGTCCGCTCCATGCAAACACAAACACATCTGCAAGTAGACTGCCATTGTAGCTGCGTTCTGTCTCCTGATTCTTGCATGTGCTTTGTTGAGAGTTATTATCATTTCCACAGCTTTGCAGCAAAGGTGGCTTGGTAGAATGAAGCCCGACCTGCTGAGTCGTGCATTTAAAGGTGTGCATATTCATTTGTTTATAGCAATATAGATCAGTGCTATTGTGATAAGCGTATGCACTGTACCTTCATGCACTTTGTGTGAATGACTGCAGTAATCATTATGTGCCGCACAGTCATTTGTTTGGTACTTATCTACTATAGCCACTCTATTTGATTGTATGTTTATCCATTTGAAGAGATGCAATTGAACCACTCGTTCACTACATGTTAAATATTTTCATCCCGCTGGAATGCTTTGTGAAGGCTAAAACCTTCATTTCATAACGATGAACTGATTCACTGTCTGTGATCCTACTTTACAGAGTTTGTTCAAGAAATTAATTAAACCAGGGAAAATTGTTCTGTCAGTTAGGCGCTTTGAAGAATTTAAACAGTCAAAGGTATCCTTCTCACATTCACTCAGCTGCTGATTTCATTGGTTGGATTCAGGATGGCGGCTGCTAACGATGACATGCTTCATGTGTGTGCCTGTTTTCTTGTGCAGGTCCTTCCATCTAGTTTTATTCCTTCAAAAACTGTGAAAAGTGAATTCCAGTTTACAAAATACTCTTATAATTTATATCTGACCACAAAGATTTGCTCCCATTTTTGGAATCAGGAACAAAAGTTGGACTGTCCTTTTTTTGTGAACACCATTTTTACTCATACGTTAGTTCGACTTTTTTTTTTTTTTAAGAATATGACTTAGGATGTGCAAAAATAGCCTGTAAAAATGACACGTTTTCTAAAAGAATTCATTCATTCACTATATATAAGGTTCAGCGATTTATTGATTATGTGATCAATTAAGGAAACTGCCAGACATTTACAAACCTTGTAGTAATCATGCCAAGTTTGCGTCAACAGTAGATTTTTCTGTCTCCAGGCTGAGACAATTCATAAAGTAGTTAGAAAGTCTTTACAATTGAGTCTACGGAAGTTTCTGCATTCCCAGATGCAGCAGAGGGTGACCTGGAGTATGTGAAAAAGTCTTGATCCACTCCTCTTTTCTGTGCTGCTAAGGAGCCAGACGTTCTTGTAGTTTTTCTTTTTTTTGTGGATACCATCTGCCTTTTCTGTCATTTTCAGTCCAGTCCTTTGAAAATAATCACAGACACACTACTAGTGCATTAAAAACATGAATAGATAATGAGACACACACAGTAGAACACGATCACTCGTGGATTGACCTCCCCAGAGCTCGGACCTCAAAATTACCGAAGGAGTGTGGGATCATCTTGACAAAGAACAGAATAAGACAGTCAACATCCACAGACAAGCGTTGAATGTCCTCGAGGAAGCCTGGAGAACTATTCCTGAAGACTGCTTAAATTACAAAAAAGGCTTGGCAAATTGTACAAGCTCTGTTTTTGCCTTATAGACTATATTTCCATGTTTGTTTGTTCATGCTTCAATAAATTGCAGCACCTTTCCCCCTGTATTCTTAGCAAACGGGATGGGTAAAGATATACCATACTACAATATGGATTACTATAATATACAATAGAGACTCAGGTTTTATAATGACTCAGGTTTTTAAAAGCATCAGTAAACCCATATGACTTAACTATTGCAATATCCTTGACATTGATTAGCCTATCATAGTCTTGCACAGTGGGCATATGTAAACTGCTAATGAGATATTCCTGTCCTTCCATCCCAATGCTGTATTTGCCTGGTGAGCGAAAACCTTCACTTGACCTCTGGGACAAGACTTGGACAAGTCTGTGATTTCCTCTTTTTCCTGTGATCATTAAGTAGATAATCCTTTTTATTTTCCAAAAAAAAAGTAAGAGGATATTTTGAGTAGTGGATATAATCTATGGACAAAAAGCAGCAGGAAAGGGGAAAGGAGGGGGAGAGTAAGGAGTTGTCTGATCTAGAGGATACATTTTGTCTTTAGCCAGACTAAGGGAACTATTTTTGATTTAATTAGATTTCTGGACACCACTTGATTCAGGACACTTTGAGTCGCCTCCTCGTTTCTTTTCCCCTGGTGGAAATCCCAAACTCACAGTGTGTGTATTTGTGATATGGTTACTAAAGACCAAATGCATCTATCATATGGGTTATCACTACAGAAGTACAAGGATTCCTCGTCCCTTTCGTCTTCTTCTTCTTATCATTACTGTTACTATTATTACTTCCATATCGATTAGCTCAATGAACTGAGCTAACTGATAATTGATATCCATCCATAACATTTTATGAATGCAAGCTCACTGCGATATAAGTGATTAGCTTTTGAACTCAGAGGATGCAATCGCTGTTCTTCAGTGAGGGCATAACAAAGAACATGATCAGTTTTCTCCATATAGTGGCAGCTGATATTGTCAGTGATGTCATAAAGACGCAGAAGAGGCTGTTGTGAACAAAAAAAAATATCCAGGCAGCGTCCACATTCATAACTCACTTACATTTACATCCAAACAACTCATTTATAAATTGTCAGTGAACCATCTCTAAACTGCATTGCATGTAGATACAGAAAAAAAGAACAAGTGCTTGCAGCAGCTGTAGCTATTAATGCACAGTATCCCTGTGTTTGTTTGCAAATATTTCCTCTTACTGTCACCCCCCATAGTTTTGTCCAACACTGGGCTCAAACGTCCACAAACAAACACACAATGCTGTCTCACCCCAGTGCCCAGCCCCACTTGGCCCGGTGCTGTTTATGGGTGGGGACCGGAGCAGTCGTTGAGAGCCTAGAGTCAGCAGATCTGCCCTGATCGATGACAGCATTTGCCGTCTCCTTCCAGTAAGAGCTTTAAACTTGGGACGAAGAGAGACATTTGGCCACGAAAAGGAGAGTTTCCCATGTGCCTGTCTGCTGATCCTAAAGCTGCTCAAAGCTTTTATCAGGGGGAAAAGCTGGCCAGGGCAAAGTCCCAGTCTGATGTAAGAAGGACAGAACTGTAACCCTGATTCCTGGGTGACTGATCACCCATGTCAGTAGAGACTCTTACTACTGCTTTCTATGTACCTTTATCTCTTTATTTCTGTTTTTAACCTGTATGCTTAGATCACTGCAGGGTAATTATTTCCATATACGTATAGTCACAAACCAATAAGCCGGAAGCACAGTATAAACTCCAGTATTACAATCAGCCTTGTAGATACAGAAGAAACCAGTGTATTCAGAGGTCAGCTCAGTAAGCTCTATCATCATACTTTCAATAAGATAATATGAAGGTCTTCAGACTGTTTACTGAATATTTGACATAGAAGTGTTTGCAGGGTTTGTCTGTCTCACTATCTCTGTCTCTCTCTCTTTTCCAGACGTTTATAGTCTTAAACAAGGGGAAAACACTCTTCCGCTTCAGTGCCACGCCCTCCTTGTACATCATAAGTCCTTTTAATCTATTTAGGCGAATAGCTATTAAAATTTTGATACATTCATATCCTTTCAAGTTATTTGATTTGTTTGCCTTATAGTAAATGAAAACATGTTTTCTGTTTGCTGTTGAAGTGGCCAGCAGTTATTTTAATGAACTATAAGGACTAAATGTCCCTGCTGACTGCTCTTCTTTAAGTTTGTCTTTAATGTTAAAGCCATATTTCAGTTATTACAGACGCAACTGTTCAGTCTTTCCTTAACTGTGTTCTCACGCTATTCAGCATGATCATCATGTGTACGATTTTGACCAACTGCATATTCATGACATTCAGTGATCCCCCGGAGTGGTCCAAGCAAGTGGAGTAAGTCCACCTCCGAACTTCTCCTCAGCAGTCATATCCTCATTTGATGTTCTCCTCACCTTTTTTGTCCTCTTCTTTTTTTTGTCCTTGAAAGGTATACCTTTACAGGTATCTATACGTTTGAGTCACTCACAAAAATTGTTGCCCGAGGTTTTGCCATCGACGGGTTCACTTTTCTCAGAGACCCTTGGAACTGGCTGGACTTCATGGTCATTTCAATGGCGTAAGTACTTCAGAACACATTGATTTGTAATCAACAAAAATACGACTCCTCCCATCTGAAAGATAAAATTCGCAGCTTGAAAACGGCACAGATAAATATGCACTGTCTGAGTCTTCTTTTGCAAACTCAGAATATATTTGTATTTAAAGTTTATATTTTATTGATCATAGAACAGCCAACAACTGCGACTTTGAGAAGTTGAAAGATTGGAATCAGATCAGGGTGTTTGTGCATCCTTCAAAAGTCTCGAAACTTCTTAAAAACACATTTTCTGTTATAAGGCGTTTAAAATGATTGAATTGACTTAACTTCAGTTGGGATGGGTCCTAAAAGTTTTCAGTCTGCCATACGTATTGATAATAAACACATAAGGACAGTCTCTTTTCCTTAGTTTTCTTTAGTTTTATCTTATTCTCTTTTTCCTGAGCTAACATAATAACGTATTTAAGTTTTGTCCCAGAAAGGAGTTTAAAGTGGTATGGGAAAGGTCCTAAATTTAAATTTAACTGCTGATGCCAGCAATACATTTCTAAAAAGTTGAAAAATTAACATGTTTAGCATATAAAAGTTTCTGGCATATTGTACTCATACTTCATAGCACAGTACCTGCATTCATTTTAGAAATAAGCTCCTTATTTGATCATTTTCTATTCAACCGTCATACTTCTTTAGTTTCTGAGCTATTTTGTTCTGGCCCATCTTAAATGAGCTCAGTGAGTTTCTGGATGCATTTTGCTGTTGATAATATGGTATTAAAATGCATTTGTTTATGCACTGATAAATCTTAGGTTTTGTTAAGGTTTTCAGAAGTGCTCCTGAGCCCATTTAATGATTTCCACTGCAGAATTATTAGTCTGATCTTGATGCATTCCCACCTGCTGGCAAGAAGATTGGGGCCATTCAGTACTGGTTTTCAGCCTCATCCCTCGCATAGAAACTCTAAATTATACCATACACTTCTCAATTTAGGGTTCAAAAATTCTTAAAGTTCTCCTCACTGTGACGTCTGAAAGACCCCACCTACCTGGGATGCTTTTAACCCCCCTGGCAAATTAAAAAAATAAAAATCAAACATCAGTTTGCTTATATGAGTTTTAATCTGACACTTTTGTGCAATTTATCAGTCATAGTAACAAAGTACAGTACATTTTATGTTAAATATTCATATAAGCTCAGAATGATTTGAACATTGTTAAACTGGGGTTTTATTTGTGATTCTACACACTGGCATGTTTCTTATCAACACTTTTTTCATTGCCAGTTTTGCCTGGGTATAGATTATGAATTTCTTTCCTTTTTCCTGTTTGCTAAGTCGTGCATGTGTGAAGGCAACAGGGGTTCGTTAATTTGAGAGAATGAAACCCATTTATCGCTTTAGTCACAGTTAAAGTGATTGTGAGTTGTAAGTCAAGTTGATTGTAATGCACTCAAAATAATATTCATGCCCAAAAATGCTTTAGTGTAATTTAATTACATCTAAATTTTACAGTACAAGGTAAAACAAAATTTTCTTGATTTGCATACATCCAGTTTATATCAAGCAAATTTTCCTTAACAGTTAATTATTTGGATAAATAAATTATGGATTTTATATGTTTCTGTTGCATTTTGCATTTTTGGGTGTGATTTGTGTTGATATTTTTAAAATGAAACACAACACGATGGCTAATCCACATCACACCATCACAGTTGCTGATGATGCTTATTCACATAGTCTGTATTAACCTCTTTCTTTCTTTCCCCTGGTCAGCATGGCTGCTGAGTAACTGTATCTGATCCACCTTGCAGGTATATAACAGAGTTTGTAAACCTAGGCAATGTGTCAGCTCTGCGTACGTTCAGGGTTCTGAGGGCTTTGAAAACAATTTCAGTTATCCCAGGTAAGAGAGTCCAGGTGTTTGTGTTTGCGGGTGGGCGAGCCACGGGGTTGATGTTAGGTGTGGTTTTGTTCCACTCCCTCTCCTCTCCTCTTCTTTCTGCGTTCTCTTCCCACTGGTTGAACAGGTGTTCTTGCTCTCACCGTGGTGTCCCTCCTGGTCTTCGATGGTGGTGCTGGTGTCGTGTTCTTGCGCATACGTGCGTGTAGTTATCGTGTGTGTGTGTTGTGTGTCATGGGGCTCTGTTCTGTGTGTCATCCTACCTTGTTACAGATATATAACAGAGTTTGTGGACCTTGGGAATGTCTCGGCGCTGAGAACGTTCAGGGTTCTCCGAGCACTGAAAACTGTTGCTGTCATTCCAGGTGAGACTCCCATTTAAACACTAAGGCTGAGCTTACATTACCTCTTAGCTCTATTTGTTTCTTTCATTTTAGTCTTTCTTTTACTTTTAAAGAAGGTATTGATTTTGAATTATTTCCTTTGTTGTTTAACTTTTTATTTTATTATAATCAAAAATGGTAGCAATACATTTTTGATAGGCTTAGCAGTCTTCTCACACCTCACATTAAATTAGAAATGTGCAGAGCTGGCATAAGGGGAAAGTTTACTCTAAAAGCTATTCTGCATGTTGTTAAAAGTGATTAAATGAACAAACTAATTATTGTGAATTTTTTCACAAACTGTCACATCAACTGTGTTCAGTTTTACTACGTTCTTTGATCCAAATTATAACTGCAGGGATTTGTTTTTAACACTATTTCATTCCCTAAGACTGCCAAGCCTAATCTGACAACTGCATGAAGCTTTGAAGTACATGCTATTACAAGTTTGGCTTTAAGAGGCTATTCTTTTTATTTTATTTTATTTTATTGTATTTTATTTTATTTTATTTTATTTTATTTTATTTTATTTTATTCAGGATGTAAATAAACTTTTTTTTTCTCTTTTGAAGATCTTTATCCATCCTGGGAGTGAAAGAGAAAATATCAAGAAATATTATAATGTGTTACATTTCTTTGCACTTTAGATTCTTCAATCATCAGGGAGCCAAATATAATTTGGTCTCATTTCCTATTCTTTGGTGTGATAAGAAACTTAAGTCCTGATTTCCAAATTGACACAAGTCAGCGAGACAGCCTAAATCCACAGAGTTGTAGTTTTCCAAGGTAACCTTCCAAGTACCTTGAAAAACTGTACATGAGTGTAGTGTACTACTGTAATCTAAATATTTCATATGCTCTAATTTTCTTTTTATGTTGGCAACAAACAATAGGTGTCATTTCTGTATTTTTATATACATCACGTTCACCCGTTGTATTTTTATGACAACTCTGTAAGCACCATCGCAGCACATTACATGCTTCACACATACAGCATGCACAGACAGGGCACAATAATGTTAATTCCAAGCGTACAACACTTAGTGTGGTAAAACCAGCTTGAAGTTTCAACACCATGAGAGAGAAAAACAGATGCCCGGGATGGAAATGGTTCTTCGGTTAATGCAAGGTCATCACCACGTTTTAGACGAGTGATGCTGACATAGTCACTTCCTTCAGCCTTAGCGTTTAAATGACCTGCATGACACTTCTCATTGCCCCCTTACCCCCTACTTACAGGCACGTACTCTTCCTCGCCTGTCCTCTCTTTCTCCTCTTCACTTCCTGCTTCCTTGATTGAGCCTGATTATGTCCACTGTTATCTGTTTGTTGTGCTGTTGTGTGCAGTTCATTTGTTGGATGCAGTGTAATTATAAAAGAAAGCTACTCAGGGATGTTCCCATAGATGAACACACAGATTTAAAGGAAATTTGATCTTTTTCACATGGATCCCAAGTTGTACAGTTGTACAGTTCCGATAAATCAGCTTCGTATTTCTTTAGCTCTCACTGTGTACATTGTGTACAGTTGTTATTTTTAAAAAAAAGAAAGTAAACCAAGTTTCAAGTCTAAGGTTTTACATATTGGGACATAAGAAAAAGGGTTAGGGTACTCTTCAGATCTTAAAATGATTTAAATACAACCTAAAATCAACAACAACACGTGACATTTTGTCCATTATTTATTTAACAAAAAACTACGACAAAGTGCAGAAGCAGTGTGTCAACAGTACATCTTATGATTCATCAGCTTATAGAACCACTTGAGCAACAATAACTTGACGTCATCATTTCCTGTTTGACATTATCAGTCTCTTACATTATTGTGATGAAACCACTCTTGGACCGCCCTTCTTTACAGCGTTGCTTCAGTTCCTTGAAGTTCACTGATATTTGTTTGTCGACAGTTTTCTTATCATTGTCCTGTTCAGTGACTCAATGTCAGCCAAGCCATAGCTATAGAAATGGCCTCACGTTTGAGAATATTTTGGAACACAGAAGAGTTTATGCTTTGCTTGTGCTGCTGCAAAACCAGCCCAAATCATCACCCCTCCACCACCGTGCTTCACAGTTGGTGTGAGGTGTTTGTTGTGATATGCTGTTTGGGTTTCACCCAGTGTGATGCTGTGCATTATGACCAAACATCTCCACCTTGGTCTCATTGTTCCCGACATCTTGTAGTTTCTTCAGATGGAAATTGGTGAACCTAAGTTGTGTTGTCATGTTCTTTTTAGAGAGGAAGCTTTCTCTTGGCTTTCCTCCTAAACATACTTGTTCAGTTTTTTTCTGACTATACCAACACGAACGTAACATTTTACATGCTAACTGAGATCTGTAGTTTGAAATGTAGCTCTTGGGTTATTTGCAGTTTCTCTGAACATTGCATTCAATTCTTCAGACTACCGTAATTCCAAAACATCTGCTTTTATAGAGGTGGTGCATTTGATAATCAGCACCTGGCTGTTTTTCACACACTGCTTCTGCATTTATTTATGTTAAAAAATGATGACACAGTATAATATGTCATGTCAGTTGTTCATCCAGCTGAAGTTTTAATTTGGAAACTAGCTAAGGACCAGATGATTTTCATCATATGCATAACATCAGAATTAAAATTGTTCAGCTTCTTTTTATATAAATATAAATACAGAAGTGTGCCTTTCTAATGGAAACATCCCATACAGTGCTAGTATTCGTCGTAGTGCCATATCCTCTCTGTAGAAATTGAGTGTGATTTCTTTTTAATAGTCTATGACAGAAAAATCAGTGCTGTGTAATGACACTATTTACTGTATAAACTACACTTCAGTATTGGTACGGTAAACTTTAACTAGAACAGGCCAGAGATGTTACAGTGGCCAAAGCTAAGCTTATCAATGACTAAATATTCAAAATGCAAAAACCTGCATAAATGTTAGATTTTTCTCTTAATATAAACACTCATTATATTAGGTCAGCTGAGCAGCCTGCAGTCTTAATCTAAATTAATACAAGGAACGCTGGAAGTCAACAGGCAGAAAATTAGTATGTAGGCAGGGGAGACGTGGAGAAGCAGGACAGCATGTTCTTCTTGGTCTAAGAAGCATAAATGTATCTGCAAACAATGGCTGTCTACACTTTTTTGTTACTTTATGGGACTACCTGTACCTGTTTATTTTTTGGATAGCAGACTATTACAGATTCTGAATGAAATATCTCACAAACTGACTGGTTTTCTGTTAAGGATGAATTAGGACTTTAACAAAAAAAAGAAGGAATTTAATTTGCATATTATTTTGAAAATGCACCACTTTATTCTACTAAATAATAAAATAAAATTAACTTTGGTTAAAACGTAGTTAAGTGATAGTTCAATTACAAACACACAGAATACAGTAGCTAGTGTTTATCTGAATAATTAATCAGAGTTTGGGCTTACACTTGCATCAAGGCAGAAATGACAATGAAAAGCAATGCCTATGCACTGGTTTTATTCTGTAAGGGACTGCACAACACACTCTGAATGTCAATTTCTGGTATTGAGACTTGGCAGAGCCGGGTGCAGATTCTTAAGAAATCACTCCGATGCCTGCCAAGTTTAGCTTTATATAAGAATCTGCACAGCACAGGGTTAAAGACAGAATTAGTTTATACATTACCTAATTTACCCTTTTCATGCATGATTCGAGTCAGCTTAGAAGTGCAGCTATAACACTGAACCCAGCACGTCTAGTGCAAAAACATTTTATTTGTGTCTTATTTTGTGTATGTGTCTATGTGTGTGTGTATTTGAATGTGTATCTCGGTGTGCATGTGTGTGTGAGTTGTGCCTGTTTCCATGTGTGTGAATTTGTGCACATTTGTGTGTGTGTGTGTTATTCATATGTTAATTGACAGGCCTGAAGACCATTGTGGGCGCTCTAATCCAGTCTGTGAAGAAGCTGTCGGACGTGATGATCCTGACCGTCTTCTGTCTCAGTGTCTTCGCTCTGATTGGACTGCAGCTGTTCATGGGGAACCTGCGGAATAAATGCGTGATCTGGCCGATCAACATGACGGCTCTGTACCCGAATGGCAGCCGGGCTTTTGACTGGGGTGAATACATCATGAACACCTGTAAGTGTTGACTTTAAAACTTGATTAAACTTTGGGACGTGTATGCAGCATTAGAGATTCTTTGACTTAGTCATGATGTCTGAGGGATGAAATATTAACAGAAACGCTGACTCACTCGGGTAACACAGACTCTTTGCCCAGTGGCCAATGCAAGTGACTGCTCTCTCTCTCTCTTTTTTAATAGCTAATTTCTACTTCCTCCCTGGTCAGCTTGATGCTCTGCTATGTGGAAATAGTTCTGACTCAGGGTAAGCCAGTACTTTGCTCAGTAAATCCTCACAATTATATTTATGCTATGTTTACAGGAGCTGTCTGCCATATTCCTGTTGTTCCACCACACATCTTAAAACATTATTAGAAATTTAACAGGGGGGCAGTCGGTGTTTGGGGTATTTCAGCATCAGATCCTTTTGCTGGGATGACCCAGCTAAGTTCTCCAGTCACAGCCATTACGAGGCCTTGTTGACGCTTTCTTCCAGTGCAGTTACTCCTTGTGACGTCAATGTATTCTTGTTTTCTTCTAGTTTGTGCTAGTACTCCACATTCCTCCTAAATACTGCTACCTGTCATATGTTGGGCTGTGGTTTTATGCCTGTAAGATTCTGTTGAGCTCCAGCCAGTTAAACTTTTGATGCTTAGATATGGCTTATTGTTGTATTTGGAGGTGTAACCACGGCCCTGTCTTGCATATCTCCAGGGGATATTTGATCGTATTTTGATCTGATGGATTCACAGGGTGTGTAGATTAAAGAAAATCAAAAAGCACACGAGATGTTTTTCATCTCGTTGCATCCAGGGCAGAGATGTAGATCAGGATGCATGTTATTTTACCTGTGTCGATGTCAAAGTGGTGCTTTTTATTCACTTTTTAAATGATGGTTTTCGGTATTGCTCTGTTATCCTCTATCAGACGATGTCCAGAGGGTTTTACATGTATGAAAGCTGGAAGGAACCCGAACTACGGTTATACCAGCTTTGATAGCTTTGGATGGGCTTTCCTCACCCTCTTTCGTCTCATGACCCAAGACTTCTGGGAAAATCTCTACATGCTGGTAAAGACTTGTTTTATTAAAGCCTCTCAGTGCCCAGTAGCTACCTCTCCCTCAAGCAGCACACTTCATCATAAAAAATATATATGAATCATCAGATTAGCATGGATGTCTGAATGATTCAGCACTTTTTGATGCTTTTAGGGACACAAATGCATGTGCAAATTCAGTATGTGCACCAAAATCTGTTAAGGTAGCTGCACTACCATGACTGTGAGCTGGAATATTTCCTGCTTCTGTAGACCATCACCATCACAAGCATAATAGCTTCTCCTTTTTTGGCAAAAGAGGTTTGTGTTGTAGTGTGTGTATTTGTGCGCAGACTATAAGGCATCGTTTCAGTATGGACGTTTTCCCGGAGAAGGTCTTCGGACTGTCGAAACATCAGAAATGCTGACATAGCACACAATATAGAGTGCATACTAAAATCCAGCAGAAAAAATCCATAAACATTAAAATAACTGTGCACCAAGGAGGATTTCAGTTATATTTTATCATTACTTATTTCATTTTAGTCTTAATCTTGCATGATAAATTACTGATTCATTCACTTTTATGCTATGTCTGTGTTTTCTGTGAGACTCTTCGAGCTGCAGGGAAGACGTACATGATCTTCTTTGTGTTGGTCATCTTTGTGGGCTCCTTCTACCTGGTGAATCTGATCTTGGCTGTGGTGGCCATGGCCTATGAGGAGCAGAACCAAGCCACGATTGAAGAGGCACAGCAGAAAGAGGCAGAATTCAAAGCCATGCTCGAACAACTCAAGAAGCAACAGGAAGAGACTCAGGTCTGTCATACTCTCTAATATACATATACCAATATGCATTTTTCATAGTTTTAGGTTATCATGTCTTTTTTTTTCTCTCAGGCTGCTGCCATGGCGACATCTGCTGGTACTGTGTCAGAGGCTGCGTTAGAAGATGAAGGTGGGGGGCACTTGTCCCGCAGCTCCTCAGAGGTCTCCAAGCTGAGCTCCAAGAGTGCAAAAGAGCGTCGCAATCGCAAAAAGAAATGGCGACAAAAAGAGCAGGAGAAAGAGAAAGGAGACAGTGAGAAGGTGGTTAAGTCCGAGTCAGATGATGGCAGCAAGAAAAGCACCATTCGATTCCCAGGGAGTCGACTGGGAAGGAAGACGTCCATTATGAACCAGGTAAAATTAGCGAGAAAAGCTGTAAACTCGAGAGCTTCAGCAATGGCCCCATAGACTGTATATAAAAGATGGCTGTGGATGCTGTGATGTCACTAGTGGTGTTGTGGCCTTCTAAATCGAAGTAAAAACATTAATGCTCATCCTCCAGCTTCACTGTGCTAATGTGTTAACATTATTCTAACCATAGCTCTGTTTTTAGCCACCAGGTAGCAAATCTTTATATGACAGTTAGCCCAACTTCAATAATCCTACAGACATTGCTGCTGTTTAGTTTTCTGTCTTCATGTGTGTCCGAACTGATAGTAGAGCAGTACGTTTTTGTTTTTTAGAACATGGTATATCATCTTTAGAAGGAAACTCGCGAGTTAACTACCTGCTTATCTGTTAAACTTTGTAATCCTTTTTATTGTTTCCTGGATGAGCAGCCCAAAAATCTGGGCTGTTACACACACACACACACACACACACACACAACAATGGCTACATCACTTTAACATACAGACCGAAGGAGCTGGGATCAAACCATGACTTTCAGACTGTTGGATGAGTCACTGTACCTGTTCGTACTCTTGAATCACAGCTACCCAGATGCAAAAGGCACCAACAGAGCCCCCACATGTTAAGTTTATTGACTACAATTACTTGCACTTACACCTAGTAAAATCTATCTGTCATTCAAAACAGCCATTCCTATAATATTGTATAACTTTAAGCCTTAAAATTAAAATGGGTGAGTTGTATAAAAAATATTTTATTTTTGCTATAAAGTTGGACATTTTAACATGTGGGTATAGGGGGATTGAGTTACTTTTGTAGCCAGTCTCTTGTGGCCATTTAAGGAATTGCAGTGGCCGGGATTTGTATGGGGATCCAAGAAGCGTATGTGTGCTCATCCAAAGCTTGGGTGGATGTGATGATTCAGCTTCTTCCTGCACTTGGTGGTTTAAGCAGTGACCTCGTTGTGGTATCAGCTGTATCAGCCTCTCTTGAGCCACAGCCCTCTTGGGACTCTTCCTGCCACTTCAGTTGTCATACAGGCAGTATTCCTACTCTTCTTTCACTCATTGCAGGACCTTTTGAGACTTTGGTTTCTTACTACTTTGTCTACATTTGTTGGCCAGTCCTCTATACTTTATTTGTGCTTGTACGTATTTGTATTACTTTATCTTTCCCTGCATTGCAGTTGCAAACAGGATAGAACAAAATAATAATCAAAATAACCCAAAAGCTTGCAGTGAGCTTTTCTTTCGTTAAACACTGTTACGTAGTTTTTTCTCAATGAACAGCACAATGTGTAATGCTGAAGATTTTCAACATTAATACTTCACTTATTAAGATCTAATGTGTCATTTAAGTGTGACTTTTAAGATACAGTTAATCGTTTTTTTAAATTTATTTTTTTAGTAGGAAAAAAATGGACCGAGATGAACATCACTGTTTTGCCTATTTGCCACATATGTGGTGTGGTGCAGAAAAATGTAATATGTGTCTACACCCTCAGCCTCAAGATATGAAGGATCATTTTTATGTTTATCATCTGAGAAGTGATCCCCTTTACCAAAGAGGCGGAAATGTGATGCAGGGTTTACTTTACAATAGAAGGCGTCTTGAGGCTACTGTTGTTGTGATTTGGTGCAATATAAATAAAATTGAACTGAATAGAAAAAAATGGGACCAGCATCTAGATAAAATGTTATCGTCTTATTCTTATTGTCAGCAGATTAAACATATAACCTTCCAAGTTCCATACAGCTGACGAGATGGCTAAATAACAAGAGCAGCTAGTTTTGAGCTAACATTATGCCTGCTAATGTTAGACTCAAGGGTCCTAAAAATCACACTTTCTCATTGATAAACAATTTAATTACATTCTCACGTTTTACTAGTTTATTCAATAAGTGTCTGAATCTAACAAGGAATCCACTTCAAGGAAAGTTACAATAACACTGGCTAACAGAGGCTAACAACAGCTAACAGCGGCAAAAACAGCAGAGCTTAACGACTTACACTGTGTCGCAGTCATCAATCTCCTGCTACTGAGTGGTGAGATTTTACACACTGTAATGTTATTTTTTTGGAGCAATGCAGTTCTTCTTGAAAAGCAATATAACATGTTTTAAATATATTATGGTTATATTTTGTGCCTACTGTCTATTTCTCATTTCTTTTTAGTTCCCTTCCTCTGATTTATTCTTGTTTTATATACCCCACCTGTACACATCAACTAACTCCTGCTGTTTAAATAACTCCTTAATTCTCCCTGTCCTCATTTATCTCTCCTCTTTCAGTCACTACTCAGCATCCCAGGCTCACCCTTCATGTCGCGCCACAACAGCCGCAGTAGCATCTTCAGCTTCAAAGGCCGTTCCAAGGACATGGGCTCAGAGAATGAATTTGCAGACGACGAGCACAGTACAGTAGAGGAGAGCGAAGACCGTAGAGGATCCCTGTTTATACCTTACCGTCGCAACAGCTACAGTGGCAACAGCCAGGGCTCATCACGCATCCATCCGCTGGCACCCCACCCTGGAGGGAAGAGGAACAGCACAGTGGACTGCAATGGCGTGGTGTCTCTCATCGGCCCTGGGCCCGGCAGACGGCTTCTGCCTGAGGTGAAAATAGATAAGGCAGCCACTGATGACAGTGTAAGGACGTCCATGGGACACCTAATACAGTTTAGGCATGATGGTGGTGGCCCGGGTTTCTGCAGCTTCTCCTTCACAACCTCTTCCCCTGCCTCTTGTTCCTCTTTTCCCTAAACCCAGTATCTCCCTTTTTTCCACTCCCTGATTACACAAAATCTGTTTTATTTTTTCACCATACACTGACTCTTAGACTTCCAGCCTGATCTAATGCCTTTTCACTTCTTTTTTTTAGCAGCACTAGAAGTCACTAACCAGTTGAAAGAGCATCCGCAAACTCACTCCCTTGCCAGAATCATCACCATTACTTCACTAACAGTAATGCGTAATGAGATCAGCCCTTTCGAGTTGCCCTAACAGTTCAATCACTGAGAAAAAAAATCATTATTATATGAAATTCTTTTCATTCTTTACTTCTACTTCCTCATTCTTGAGGGCTTCGTACATCTGGACACATACTATTTTCTATCACTGTTCTTATCTGGAGTTCTTTTTTCTTCTTCTTCCTTTCAGCCTCACTCTCCCTCTGCTGCCTTCTCTTTCCTCCTTGCCCTCATTTATCCTCTGCTTCTGAGAAATGGATGATGCAACGACAAATATGAAACCTTTTTTTTCCTATAATAAATGTCTCTTGTCATTCTAGCTAGCATGGTTGAACCCTCTTTTATTGTCAACCAATCTACCTGCTTTTTACCTTCTCTAAAGTTTAGCATGATGTGTCACCAAATGATGTCTTGATGTCTTCCACTCTCTTGTTGACATGCATGCCACTGCATGCATTTTACTGTTGCTTAGGGATTGTATTTTTGTCATGCACAGTAAATGATGGCGAAATTAGAATGTGCTACCTTAAATTCTCAAAAGTAAAAATACCTCAAATCAGATTAAATCATAATGGAAAAAAGAGGAATTTGAAATTGAGCCCTCTTTCAAAAAAAGTTTTAAATAAACCCTGGTTCTTTACCTGGTTGTGCTAATTTAAGGCACCTATTTGAGAATTTACAGTAAGAACTTGAAATGTATTTGATTATATTTTCTGGAAAATGTAGAATATCAGTACATTATTTGATACTAAAGCGACAGTTCTTTTGCCTTGTGAGCAGACCTCAGATCTCTTTCATGATTTAGATGGATCAAGTTGCATCTTGTGGCAACTGCTGTTGTAATTTGGCGCTATATAAATAAAATTGAATTGAATTGAATTTAGATAGCTGTGGAGCACGAGGTTGAATGTCTGTTTATATTCATGTAATGACCGTGACATCATGTCTTTCTCTGAGTACAGACTACAGACGTTGAGATTAAGAAGAAGCACTCTGGCTCTCTCATGGTGTCTGTGGATCAGCTCAACTCCTCCTTCAAAGGGAAGGAACGTGCCAATAGTCAAATGAGTGTAGTCACCAACACTCTGATAGAGGGTACAGAGAGTTTATATGTTTCTCTTTTTCTTTCTAATTCTGTGCCGTTAATTGTCAGATTAGCTCTTAGTGCTAAAATACGTTGAGGACATGAAAATGCACAAGTAAAAACAACATCAGTTTTGCTCAGTATCAACTAAGTGACAGCTGTTGTTGCAACTTGTTAGTATATACCCATAAGTTGCATGTATTTATCACATAAGTGAGGTGTTCAGGAGTCTAGATGTTACAGCACATAATGTCACTTAAATAACTAAATGTTAAACATTTCACGTCCCCCCTTTTCTTCCGTCTCTTTGTGCAGAATTGGAGGAGTCTCAAAGAAAGTGTCCTCCCTGCTGGTACAAGTTTTCTAACATCTTTCTCATCTGGGAATGCTGTCCCATGTGGCTAAAACTCAAGCACATAGTCTACTTGATTGTCATGGACCCCTTTGTTGACCTGGCCATCACCATCTGTATTGTTCTCAACACCCTTTTCATGGCCATGGAGCACTACCCAATGACTCCACATTTTGAAGAGGTCCTGTCTGTTGGAAACCTGGTAAGAAGCTGCAGTCAGTCTTTATTTAGTCTTTTTTCTTACTGTTTCCATTCGTTTTTGTTGTTGTTTTATGACTGCATGCTCAGTATGTCTCTCAGGAGGTACAGAAATGTTGTAGGTGTATTGTGTGCCTCAATTACCTCAAGCCAACTCATCAAAGCTTCATTTGATATGTGCACTTAAGAATATATACACATACCATATACAGGAATCTGATGGGGTCTCATTAAAGATTTAGTACCATTTTAATGTAGCCAACTAGGCTTGCCTGCCAAACTTTTATTACGTCCACTCACTCTTCATCCGTTGCATCTTGCTTCCTTCAAGTCTGCTGAACCCTTAACTTGCTCTCAGCTGCTTGCATACAGACATAAGCCTGTTCAACACTGATTTGACCAAGTACATATTAACAAGATCTGTCGCAGACATTCTGGTTTGTCTGTACTCTGTCTGTGCTACCAGATATCACTGTTGCACAGCTGTCTGAGGGCAGAAATACTGGCGCAGTGTCAGATATTAAGACAGGAAATGAGGTCATAGGCATTGGCATGCAGTCCAGGAACTGAACTCAGAGGAATCTGCGCAGTATGATGGATGGTGCAGTGTGAATCACTGGGTGTTCTCTGCAGCACTAACTGGACACATGGTTAGCAGAAGGACAATACAAAGCAATGAGTAATATAGTTAATTACGAATTCTGCTGAAACATATCCTTGTTAATTTTTTAACAAGAAATACTTCAAATGCAATCTAAGCATGCCTCTTTATCCTGTTTCCCGAGGAAACATATTAACATATTCTTCATGTTTTTCTCTGTGTGGGTCTTTAGGTTTTCACTGGCATCTTTGCTGGGGAGATGTTTGCCAAGCTAATTGCCATGGATCCCTACTATTACTTCCAGGAAGGCTGGAACTGCTTCGATGGCTTCATTGTGACTCTGAGTTTAGTCGAGCTGGGACTGGCTGATGTGGAAGGCCTGTCAGTGCTCAGGTCTTTCCGATTGGTACGTGGAAAATAAGAGACATTTGATTTGACCTTTTGTGGCCTTAATGTACAAGCTAGTATCAGGTAAATATTTGTGCAGCTCTCTTTCTTACTGATCATCAGATCAAGGCTGACGTTAAGCCTGGCTTCTGTAGATATTACATCAGGTTGTGTTTTCTAGATATGAAAAACTATAATTAACCCTGTTCGTTTGTTATGTGCTTCTCTTGTAGTTGAGAGTGTTTAAATTGGCCAAATCATGGCCAACACTCAACATGCTGATCAAGATCATTGGCAACTCAGTGGGAGCTCTGGGTAATCTAACCCTGGTGTTGGCCATCATTGTCTTCATCTTTGCCGTGGTGGGAATGCAGCTATTTGGCAAAAGCTACAAGGACTGTGTGTGTAAGATTGCAGAAAGCTGCGAGCTGCCACGCTGGCACATGCACGACTTCTTCCACTCCTTCCTAATTGTGTTCAGAGTGTTGTGTGGGGAATGGATTGAGACCATGTGGGACTGTATGGAGGTGGCAGGACAGACAATGTGTCTAACGGTCTTCATGATGGTCATGGTGATTGGTAACCTAGTGGTAAGCAAAGACAGACATTACATAGTGTACAGGCTCCTGAATTATAGTAATCCATTGAAGTTTAATAGATACATTGCTGTGAAAAAGTATTTGCAGTTTTCATGATTTCTGTTTTTTGCATATTTGTCACACTTACAATTTTCAGATTATCTAATAATATTAGACAAAGATAGTAAAATTGGTGTTTTTATGATGATTTCATTTATTAAAGAAAATAATATCCAAACCTACCTGCCCCTTGTCTAAAAAAGTAATTACCCTCCTTGTCAAAACACAGTTTTTGGAAAGCTGAGTTACAGCCAACCCAGACCAGTTAAATCAAGAAATCACTTAAATAGAAGTTGTCTGACAAAGTGAAGTAGGCTAAAAGATCTCAGAAAGCAACACATCATGCCGCAGTCTAAAGAAATAGCTGAGAAACAAAGTCACTGACATCTATCAGTCAGGAAAGTGTTACAAAGCCATTTCTAAGGCTTTGGGAACTCCAGTTGACCACAGCGAGAGACATTATCCATAAACAGAGACAACTTGGAACAGTGGTGAACTTTCCCAGGAGTCATCCAGGACGTCACAGAAGAACCCAGAACAATATCTAAAGAACTGCAGACCTCAGCTGTCTCAGTTAAGGTCAGAGTTCATGATCAACAATAAGAAACACACTGGGCAAAAATTGCATTGACACAGTTCCAAGGAGAAAACCACTGCTGACCAAAATGAACCTCAAATTCTCGTCTCAAATTTGCCTAAAAACATCTTGATGATCCCAAAGACTTTTGGGAAAATATTCTGCGGCCGATGAGACAAAACCTGAACTTTTTGGAAGGTTCAAGTGCTGTTCCATCTGATGTAAAACTGACACAATATTTCATAAAAAGAACATCATACCAACAGTCAAACATGGTGGCGGTAGTGTGATGGTTTGGGGCTGTTTTGCTGCTTCATGGTGATTTTCCATAATTGATGGAACCATGAATTCTGTTTTCTTCGAGAAAATCCTGACGGAGAATGTCTGCCTATCAGCTTGTGCCATCAAGTACAAGTACACTTTAGAAGCAAGACAATTATCCAAAGCACACCAGAAAGTCCACCTCATTTTGGAGTGCCTAGTCAAAGTCAGGAGTTAAATCTCATTGTGATGCCTTAGCACGATCTTAAACAGGCTGGTTTAACAGGATTTTCAGAAACCCTCCAGTGTGGCTAAATTTAAAGAAAAGATGTGAAATGTGAAAGCCTCATTGTCAGTCACAAATGCTCCATTGCAGTTCTTACCACCAACTACGGTACAATCAGTTGTTAGCCTTAGGTGGCAAAAGCTTTTTCACATCAACTTTTTCCTTAAAAAAATCAGTTATTATTTAAAAAATGCATTTTGTGTTTACTCTGGGGGTTTTTTTTTAATTGAAATTTCTATGATGATCTGAAACACGTGTGAAAAATATGCAAAAAAAAGAGAAATCCAAAGGTGGCAAATGTTTTTTCCCAGCGTGTATATTGTGAGTGCTAAAATGAGAGCTTCTGTCTATTTTACCTTTGAGGTCCTGAACCTGTTTCTGGCCCTGCTGCTGAGCTCATTCAGTGCAGACAACCTTGCTGCCACCGATGATGATGGTGAGCCCAACAACCTCCAGCTCGCGGTTGCTCGCATTAAGCTGGGGATTGCCTGGTTCAAGGCAAACATGCGGGTTTTTGTAGCCACAATGCTAAAGAAGGTACCACATAATTGAACATTTATACACCTCCTTGTTTAAATAACATGGTTTTGTGTCAGACTCCTATTTGATGGCTGTTTGTTTTCTAATAGCGATTTTTCATTGGTTGTTTTATCACTATGACAAGCAGCCTGTCGAAGAAGATGAACAGAAGCCTTTGGATGAAATGTATGAGAAGAAGCTCAACTGCATTGCAAATCACACAGTGGATATCAATCGAGGACTGGAGTATGCTAAAAATGGCAATGGGACCACCAGCGGAATTGGGAGCAGTGTGGGAAAGTACATGATTGATGACGACTACATGTCCTTCATCCACAACCCAAACCTCACTGTCTGCGTTCCAATCGCTGTTGGCGAGTCTGACTTTGAAAACCTTAATACTGAAGATTTCAGCAGTGAATCCGATGTGGAAAACAGCAAAGATGTGAGTATCATCTGCCCTTGCTTTGCAAGTAGTTTTAGTAAATTATTGTTTTGATGTCAGAGGTGATGAGGTTGCTAAATATAACATGGTAGGAAGCAATGCAATAGTGCAGTAAACAGAATAAAGTTGAGTATATCGTGCAATATGCGGTAAGTGGAACTCATCTGAGTTGCCACACTGGAGAGACTTAGTTTAACTGACATTTAAGAACATCCATTTAGACAGGAGCGCTGTAACACTGAGCCTGAGTGCTGACCCTGCAGACAGCCAAGAACAGCAGGCAGACAACAGACTGCCCTGGTGAGATGACAGAGAAGCAGAGTCACAGTCTACTGTACAGTATAAATGGAGGAGAAGGATAGCCAGACCCAAAGTGTGTGGAGAAGTCTGATGGGTGGGTCACCTTGACCTAGTTTGTTGTAGGACGAAAGGAGATAATGCAGCTGAATCACTACTGTACCTGCATCAGTTTATATTCTACTGAGCTTCCTCAACCACAAAAATCTACCCAGCGCTGCAGCCGGCCAGAGGGCACGCTGCAGGGCGAAAGCCAGTCAGAAAAGCATGATGGCTATTTTGTAAAAAGAATTGGTGGAAACAGGGGAAGAAAGGGTGAATGTTGATAAGAATGTGCATTCACTCTTCAGTGAACTGAACTGTCCTGAGTGTTTGTGAGTGTTTTTGTCGAGTTAACAGTAAACGACTAATATCAAACGTGTATCTAAAGTATTAAATGAATTGTGCGATTAAAACACACATTCCCTTACATCCTCTTTTCCCTCACAACACAGATAAATCCCCCGATTCTTTCAAATGTGTGCCAGTGCAATCCCTCCATTGTGTTTTGTGAGGTTTTGTTTTTTTTTCTACTTAGGTTCTGTTTTGAGTGTTTGCTGTTTGCTGGTGTTTTCAATGCATTTGACCTCTCAGGGCCACCGTATAATGACTATTATTAACAGTTCAAAGAATTACTGATTATCTCTAGTGACTAACATGACTTTTAATAACTGCGCTACATGGCTGTAACGTGTATACCTCCATTTATAAATCATGTCATGCATATAAACCCAAAGAGCGCATTAATGTAATGGCTTCACTGGCACTGTGCCTTATACATATTGTACACTTTCAGCATCTCACTGCTGAACCTATAACATTCAGAGAGAAACTAAGCGGTTGAACTGATCTCTTTGTCCTAGCTGGATGACACCAGCTCGTCTGAGGGCAGCACAATAGACATCAAGCCTGATGTGGAGGAGGTGGCAGTGGTGGAGGTTGTGGAGGAGTATCTTGACCCAGAAGCCTGCTGGACAGATGGTAAGTGGTGATTAATTTTTGACTTTTTGGTTAGTAATAACAACAAGCCCACACAATATGTTATCGGTGTACTGTGTTAATGACAGGTTATTCACAGTTCAATCCATGATGTATATCAACAGTCGTGTTTTCATTTGGCATGCAGAGTGTGTGGCCAAATATAAGTGCTGTGATGTTCCCATTACTCACGGGTGGGGGAAATACTGGTGGTTCCTGAGGAAGACCTGCTACCTGATAGTGGAACACAACTGGTTTGAAACCCTGATCATCTTCATGATCCTGCTCAGCAGTGGGGCCCTGGTAAGAACACACACACACAGTTTTGCACACTCTCACAAACAATCTAATTGCCCTACTACAATGTCTAATTAACAGTATGATAAAATGCACATCAAAGCAAGAATACAAGCAACAAATTAGAAAAACATAAACAAATTCAGTTAATGATTGCATTTAGTTCTGAGGATGTGAGCAAGCATCATCTTCTGCTTTTCTTCTGCAACTGCTCTTGATATTATTGCTGATAATGGACAGCAAAGTGCTGTAATGCACCAAGCTTTCAACCAGGAGTTTCTAGCTTAGGCTTGCAGCTTTATCCAGGTGGGAGGTAAGGAGAAACACTTATATGTGGAATAATGGAAACGGGGAATGAAGGGAACCATCACCCTAGTCTGATATGGTTATGTTTATCAGTTATTTTTCTGCATGGTGTAAACAACTTATTGTCAACAACAAATGAACACAGCATGTCATCCAGCAAATTCTAAACCAGGTGATTTAGAAGAGTGAAAAGACCTTCATACTGATAATAACACTGGTTGTTTCATGCCATGCATATTGTCTGTGTGATGTTTCTGTTCTGCTCTTCAGGCCTTTGAGGACGTGTACATAGAACAGAGGAAGACAGTCCGTACCATCCTGGAGTATGCGGATCGTGTTTTCACCTACATCTTCATCCTGGAGATGTTGCTGAAATGGGTGGCTTATGGCTTTGTCAAGTACTTTACAAATGCCTGGTGTTGGTTGGACTTCTTCATTGTTGATGTAAGTACATTTCTATGTGGCTTGGTTACATACTGGCCACATGATGATAGTTTAAGATCGCAACATCCACAGATTTGAGAGTTTAAAGTCAGTGAGTCATTTGTCACACAGAAAAGATGCTCTATTGGGGAAACACGTATGTTTGTTTTTTGTTTCTACCAAATGGGCGAATGTCTCAAAAAACATGGTTTTATTCCTTCAGCTAAAAACTAGAGAGATAACAGTTCCTGCACTGCTGAGTCACAGACCTCTTTATCTAGTCAGCAGTGTCTACAAACACCAGGGACCACAGAAACGCATCTGCACATTGCTCCATGCTTCTGTCATGAAGCCTGGAGATTTTGCTTAGTTTCAGTAGCACAATGGCCTCTCTGTCCTGAATGTTCAATCTGGCCTGCTGAGGCATTCAGTGTTTCCCTCTCTTGACAGCTACTGTAATTCATATGTGGTTTATCCTTTTCTCTCATTCGTGTGTGATCTGTTTCTCACGTGAATTCTTTCCTGCATCTATATTTAAAAAATGATGATGATCATAGCTAGTGAAATTTCTGGTGCTTCTCAGGAAGTGACACTTTTTATAGCACTTTTCTTCGTTATTTTACGGTTTTGAGGAAAAGAATAATTTGGAAATTTGAGAATTAAAGTGATTGATCACCGAATGTGATGGCATACATTCAATGATATTTTTATTGACAGTTTATTTAATTAGTTGATCATTTCAGTCCCTGACACTGACCTTTCCAAATCCAAATGATTTTTTTCCTCAAAATTTGTAATTTAATTCAATTTTATATATTTAGCAATAAATTTATATTTTTTGTCTTGTTGTAATATTGATTTCTATATATATATGTATATATGTGTGGGGTTTTTTTTATTATGTCCTATGTTGTGCTAAGGCATTCATTTATTTTATTTGTCCTTTGACCACCAATTTATCTTCACCCTTAATTGTGAAGTGCCAGTCTGTCTATGTTAACATCGACATACACATATAAACAAGCATTTAGTTATGTTTAATAGGAATGTAGTATTGTATGTTGTATTCCTGATGGGGGTCAGAAATTGTAAGTATGTTTACCCTGCACACATACCATATGTGTGCATTTTTTTTATGATTATTTGTGTATATCATGTATTTTCAGTTACTGATTGTCTTTTACAATATGTAACGTCACAATAGTTTGTTGAGAACAAAGAACATAGGAATAGTCAGGTTGATTCACAAGCATCTGCTTTTGTTTTTAACAAACATCCTCAGTTATCAAGATATAAATTATGATTGGAATCTGGCCATTAACTTTCAGTGATCATGTTCAAAAGATCAGGTGGTCAAAGAATCATTTGAATATAGCAGTAGAAGATTTTAAGGTTTGGAGAAACTGACCAAATGACACTGCTGCCCGCAAGAAGGACAAAAGAAGGACAAAGAATAAGTGTGTGAGTCTTCACACGGCCACTTCAATAGTTATTCTTAATTAGCATTATGTTCAATCCCCTTTTGTCTTCAGATCTCCTTTAATTCTTTGTGGCACAGATGCAACAAGGTGCTAGAAACATTCCTCTGAGACTTTGGTTCATGCCGAGTCGACATGACTGCATCACACAGTTGCTGCAGGTTTACTGGCTGCACATCCATGATAGGAATCTCCAGGTGTGAAGATGCTCTATTGGACTTAATCTGCTAACTGTGAAGGTCATTTGATTTCAGTGACCTCATTGTTAAGATACCAGAAACCAGTGGTATGTTCTCCTACTGGAAGGAGCCATCAGCAGATGGTCACTGTGGTCATAAAGAGATAAACATGGTCAGCAAGACCCCAGAGGAAAATGTCTCCCACACATTATACCAGCAACACCGTGAACCATTGATGAGACAGGATGAACCAATGTTGTTTATGCCAAAATCTGACCCTACCATCCAAATGTTGCAGCAGAAATCAAGACTCATCAGAACACACAGCATTTTTCTTCTGTTGTCCAATTTTGGTGAGCCTGTGCAAATTGTAGCCTCAGGTTCTTGTTCTTAGTTAAAAGGAGTGCAGAAGACCACACCCAGTGCTGCTGAAGCACATCTGCTTCAGAGGTAGATGTGTTGTGCATTCAGAGATGCTCTTCTGCGTACCTTTGTTGTAAGGAGTGTTTATTTGAGTTAATATGCTTTCCTGTCAGCTTAAAGCAGACTGGCCATTCTCCTCTGACCTCTGTCATCAACAAGGCATTTTTAGCCAGAGAACTGCCGCTCAGTGGATATTTTTTTTCTTTTTCAGACCATCCTCTGTCAACCCTGGAGATGGTCATGTGGGAAAATTCCAGTAGCTCAGCAGTTTTTGAAACACACAGACCAACTGTTCTGGCATCAACAATCACACTGCGTTCAAAGTCATTTAAATCAGTTTGAAATTGAGCAGTTCATCTTGGCCATGTTTACATGTGCTGAGCTGCTGTCGTGTGGTTGGCTGATTAGTTAATGAGCAGTTGAACAAGTGAACCAAATGAAGTGGTCAGTGAGTGCATACACAACATTTGTGAGACTTATAATACAATGTTATGCAGAAGATGTTAATATCACTACAGGACTGAGATATATATTCACTTCCATAGAAAGCCCTTTAAATGTAAATCAAAACAATATGCAGTTACTTGGCTGTATATAACAACAATCAATATAAAACAACCAAATGTTAAAACTGAGAAATGATATTGTCGCTTTAACTGATATGTCAGCAAATCATTTAAAAAGGGTTTAGATATTTATATTACAAATGTGTAGCATCTTTCTTTTATTTGTCTCTGTAGGTGCTTAGAAACTTTACAGTTAGAGCCTCCTTTGTTAAATTTTGGCATTTATAGTGCTTCAAATAGTATCAGCTGTTTTCAGATCTGGACTTTTAAGCAGTTTTGCATTGTCTGGTTAAGTAAGGTCTTCTCTATGAAAGATATAAATAAGGACAATTTTTGTCAAACATTTCCCATTAATGAGAAAGTGATTTTTATGCGCATTAACTTTGTAATGAAGCTTGCAAAATCAAGTTAAAACTCAGGGTTATCTTTCAATTCTCAACTCAGTGTAAAAACTTCAGCAAAGGTTTGAGCTATAACTTTAGAAAGTGTCGTGCTAAAAGCAAAAGAAATCAGTTTAGACTTGAGAAAAAGAATTGCTTCTGCTCACAAAGCAGGAGATGTATGTGGAAGTTTATCACAGCGTTCCTGAGTGTCAAGAACTGGAGCAAGAAATGTGATCAAGAAATTCAAATAGAGCAACACAGTACAGAACAAGCCTGGCAGAGGCAGGAAGCAAAAGATTTCAAAGAGTGTGGAAAGACAACTAGTGAGAGATGTGTCTGCAGAGCCCAGGACAACTGCAGAGGGTTAGGGTAACCCTACACCTGCAAACCAGACTGAAACAAGCTAAGGAGAAGATCAGAAAAAAGTAGAGATTTTTAGCCATAGATATGCTGCTTATATTTGGAGAAAGAAGGGGAAGGCATACAAGCCAAAATAACACTATCCCTACAGCGAAACATGGTGGTGGGAGCATTAAGCTGTGGGGATGCTTCAGTCCATCTGGAACTGGAAATCTCATCAAGGTGGAAGGAATGAAGAAGAAAGAAGGATATGTGAAGATTTTAAATGAAAACCTCAAGCAGTCGGTAGCAAAACTGGGTCTGGGTCGTTGCTTTGTCTTCCATCACAGTGACCCAAAATGCACTTTGCTCCTGGTGAAGAATTACTACCAGAAGACTAAAGTAAAGATTATTGACTAGTCTGCAAAAACACACATGCCAGGAAATAATGGGAAATAATTATGTTTCTTAGTGCAAAGTAAAATAATGTAAGCGCCCAAAATAAAACTAGGATACTTGGAAAAACTGTGTTAAAAACTCATTACTCTTTTTTTACAGTACTTGGGGAAAATGGAATTTTCATGGGGGTAACTAAATGGCAGCATATGTTCCAAAGAAGCTTACATATAATATTATATGTAAGATAACATACATACATTATATGTATGTTATCATGCTGGAGATACACTATATATTTATTGTAATATTGTAGGGTCATTACTTTACCATATAAAGTATGTTAATATAAATAAAATGGAATAATGGTCGAAGTGTTTCTCAGTTTAAACATTTGACATGTTCAGGGTTTTTTTGTGTGTTTTTTTTGTTTTTTACAATTTTCATGTTGTCTAAGTAAAGATTTTCTAAATGTGTGAGTTGGATCCTCTCTTCCCAACAATTATAGTAAGGGGTCTGTCCTATGGGTCATGATGACAAAAGTGTTAAATATTCAAGTTACATGGTGGATTTTTATTTATTTATTTATTTATTTTGCGTAACCCTGAAATATGAAGACATCTCAATATAGTCTGATAACTTAATCCAGATTTTTTTTAATGCAGCCCTCTGTCCTAACACTGACCTGTCCTCTCTCTCACAGCAGGTTCCTATAACTGTGTCTCTCTTTAAGTTAAGAGAGACGTTGTGCAGCTATCGAGAGGGACTGAGGGGTCGGTGTTTGGGGGTCCAGGGTAAGGTTGATGTGCTGTGGTGGGACTCCTACTTTCACAGGCTTTTCCTCTCTTCTAACCCTGAAAGTTGTCATCAGCTTCTGCGTTTTCTCTCCCTTCTTTAAGTACAATGCCCTCTGATGTGGAAACTGTACTGTTTTGTATCGTGTACTGTGTGTATATTATTGTGTCACATTGATTTAGTGTTTGTGAACTCATTTCTCCTCTAATTTTTCCCTTTGTTTGACTCTCTTCTCTTCCTCTCACTGTGTCAACCACAAGTTTCTTTCCAGGTGTGCTCACTGTGCTGTTAAGCTGGTTATCACGCTAGACTGGCTTGCCAAACTAAACCAAACTCAAACATAAGCAAACACATTTTTTTTAAAAAGAAAAGGAAAAAAAGAAGTCCGGCTACACTTTATTGACCGTTGTTTATTGTAATAACTCCTGTTTAACCGTTATGCTATATAGATACATATACTTACACATATATAACCTATATATGTACTTATATATATCTGTATATAACCATTCAGCCATCCTTACACTTTAGAGTCCACCTTTCTCTCTATTTCCCCTCTAACTTTGTGGGTCCTCTCTTCCTTTGCCTCTGTCTTTCCCTCTTCTTCTGTCCCTATCTGTGTAGGTGTCTATAGTCACCCTTATAGCTAATGCGTTGGGCTACTCCGATCTAGGCCCGATTAAATCACTCAGGACACTGAGGGCCTTGAGACCCCTCAGGGCCCTGTCACGTTTTGAAGGGATGAGGGTAAGACCCAAGATACCAGGCAGCTGGTCCTTTTGCATGCCGAATAAATAAAAAGTATCAGCGCATGCTAGAGATGGCAGAATAGATTTTAAATATCTCTGAGGGGACTTTTCTTTTTTTAAAGATGACTCCTTGGATTAGTGAGAAGCTTTTTGCATGGACGCAGATCATCTCAGATGGTCATCATACATCTGATTTGATTAATCATGTTTCATTTCATATATAATAAATTTAGCATTATTTTAAAGCATTTAGCAGTGACTCCAAATATTAACAAAATTAAACTCTGTCCAATGCTTTATTTAAAAAAGTAGACTGCACTCCAATTTTTTGCTTGAGTGATTCAGCACGCTACAATAAAAGCTCTGTTTAGTACCAGCTGAAGGAACAACTAGAGGTTGGTTTGAACTGTCAGGCAAAACAAATTCAAGCTGAGCCATGCAATAGGGTTATGACACAGACCCAAAATGCAGTCTGTTAAGTGCTACAGAGCCCCCAGCTCAAATGAACTGATATCCAAATTAGTAGTCAATCTTTGTGCATACTTCATTTACAGGGTGCACACAGTTAAGTCTGTCCTTAAGTTTGTGCACAGTTTCTACATCTATAGTTGTGATGTAACTCCAGAGTTTTAACTAATAAACAAACAAAACAGAATCTGGTTTAATCTGGTTATTTCATGTGATGGATTGGGTCAGCCTCTGGTTGTTGCTGGGCAAAAAGAAAAAAAAAAAACAACAAAAATTTTTATCGTGCCTAGGCTCAGCATCTTCTGGCTTTTGCTCTGGCTCAAGTGTCCTGTTATCTGATATTATCACAGTTTGGCTTTGGCATTGTCACACTGGAAGATCAACAAACTTCTGGTTGCATATCCCCTCCCCTGACATCCTTGCTCATCACTCCTCAGTGAATTTCATCACCATGATTTTCACGATCACCGTTTTGCAGTTATATTAAGTTATCGCATAGCTGCATTGTCTCTATATTACAACATTAGACAGAACACTAGAGTGTAAAAAAAAAACGCAAATAGTTTTGACATTTGATGTTTGCCTAAAGTTTTGGTTTATTTGGCTTTCTGTTTTCATGGCTTGGTGTTTGGAAATGCACATTCCTGTGTTTTCCTCCTAATTCTAACAGCTGTATATCATTCAGGACAGTAAAGTTATCTTTTATATTAACAGTTCATGCAATCATTACTTAATTGATTGAATTAATTTGTTGCATTGAGCAGCCACAGCTAACACAAATGTTCTCTTGACATATTGGAACACAAATAGTATACAAGTGTGTATGAATGCAATATACTTTTGATGGGAATAACAATATGCTGGGGCACAATACAAAAAAATCTACAAAAGGATAACTTTATAATGATTTGTAACTAGTTGTAATGAGTTTTAGTTTAATATACCAAGCTGTCAGAAAACAGTACTACGTCATTTAAATGCTGACAGTCAAAAGTGATGATTTATAAAATCTGTAATATCCCCTTTATTACCAAAACCTATAACACAAACTATTTTAAGCATGGCTTTCTGTTCAAAGTTGAAATAATCAGAGTTCTACACTGTTTTGACTTGTTGTGCATTGTATTGTGCCCTGTTGTTATACTCGATTGTAGGTTATTGTGATTGGCATGAATTTTTACGAAGCAATCACATAACGCAACTTGAGTCTCTAAGGGAGGGAAAGAATGTGCATTTCTATGTAAGTGTGTGTTTCTGTGCAAAATGTTATAACATCTACAAGCAGGTGGTGTTTGATTGCTAACATACACTCTTGTCTGCTCCCCGCCCCCCTGTTCTTTTTAGGTTGTAGTGAATGCCTTGGTGGGGGCAATTCCCTCAATCATGAATGTGTTGCTGGTGTGTCTCATCTTCTGGCTCATCTTCAGCATCATGGGTGTCAATCTGTTTGCTGGAAAGTATTACTATTGTTTCAATGAGACAGCTGAGGAGTACTTTCTACCGCATGAGGTGAACAACAAAACAGAGTGCTTCGCACTCATCAATGACAACTATACTGAAGTCAGATGGAAGAATGTCAAGATCAATTTTGACAACGTAGGCGCGGGATACCTGGCACTCCTACAAGTGGTGAGAAACGTTTTTTTTTTGCTACTTCTCATTTGTACAATTTTTTTGTTTTCTCACACTGTGACTGCCACCATCGCAGGCAACATTCAAAGGCTGGATGGACATCATGTATGCGGCAATAGATTCTAGAAAGGTAAGCTTTTTCAGTTTACAGATAGTCTGACTTTCACATCAGCAGGACCTACAGTTTTTTTAATATGTTTTTTTGTTTATGGCAATTTGTAGGTGGAGGATCAGCCCGTTTATGAGGACAACTTGTACATGTACATCTACTTTGTCATATTCATCATCTTTGGCTCATTCTTTACCCTAAACCTCTTCATTGGTGTCATCATTGATAACTTCAATCAACAAAAGAAAAAGATAAGATTGCTTTTCTTCATTTATCTCTCAAATACACACATTTTGACTTTCTTACCAGAGTTAGACGAAACAGTCAATTACACTATAATCAAGAAGACAGATGTATGTCCCAAAATATCAGGTTAATCCTTTAGGATTAAAATCTACACCGCGGACTTTGACTTTTTTTTAAAGTAGATCCTGCACTGGAAAATGTGGTCCTGCAGATTGTAACCAAATTGTTTTTTGTCCCTTTACTTTGGAGGTCAGGATATCTTCATGACAGAAGAGCAGAAGAAGTATTACAATGCAATGAAGAAACTAGGGTCCAAGAAACCACAGAAACCAATCCCCAGGCCCCAGGTAAATATTCTCCTCCCTTCTCCTCCACGCAATTTACATTTCTAAAAACCATTAAGAAAATCACTCCAACATCTCTCTTCTGTCTTCTCGCTTTCTCCTCAGAACAAAATCCAGGGCATGGTGTTTGACTTTGTGACGCAGCAGGTGTTTGACATCTCCATCATGATACTCATCTGCCTCAACATGGTCACTATGATGGTGGAGACAGACAATCAGTCGGAGGACACAGAGAATGTGCTTTACTGGGTCAACTTTGTCTTCATTGTTGTCTTCACTGGCGAGTTTTTACTGAAGCTCTTCGCACTACGTCACTATTACTTCACCAATGGCTGGAACATTTTCGATGTGGTTGTGGTCATCCTTTCAATTGTGGGCAAGTATTTAAAAAGGCTGTTTATGCATGAGGGGAAAAGTCAAAGCAGCTTTACTGGAAATGGCTCAAATGAGCCAATTTCATTCACGTACTGCAGATGCACACAGCTCAAACATGAGCCAGACTTTAACCTAACCTGTGTGTGGCTTCTTGCAAACTCTGTTCAGGCAGCTCTCTTGCCTAAACCAAACTTTGTGTTTCTAGCAGTTGTAATATATATGAATTAAAATATATGTAGCGCTAATGTGTGCAACGTGTCAGAAGGTGAAATTTAAAATCTCCTGGTCTTGTCTGACTTTTCTGTCCAAAAGTTCATCTCCCCTAATTTCTTTATGTTTTGCTTCCAAGCAGCCAGACTTTCTTGGAATTTTTTAAAGTGGTGTTGAGCAATAGCACTTTCTTGCTAGTAGCCTGTCACAAAAATCCATAATTTGGTTCCATTTCTTTAATCGAATCTATGAAAAATGTCAACTATAACATAGTTTGACAGGGATAAAATTTTATTTTTGCACCAACAAAATAGCTAAAAGCTTGGCTTATCTCAGCATGGTGGGCAACTGTGCCGTTAAAAGACTTAAAGCCAATCTTATGAAAGGGAAACATTGAGAAAAGGCTGAGGTATGCCAAATTACTCAAGAACTGGACTGAAAATAAGCCTCAGGAAAGCTGCATAAGAGAGTTCAGGCTCAGTTAAAGAACACAGCTGGTGTAAAGAAATATTGCCCATTTTCCAAGTAAATATAAAGAAATATAAAGAAATTAGGGATTGCTGGACCTTTGCCCAGTATACATAAAATCAAATATAAAAAAACCCCTTCAATTTCTTTCTTTCAAATGTCTTCAGTTCAAACGTTGCCATACAGTTTTTTCTGGCTTTTTGTTGTGATCCTCATGCTGTATAAAAACAGATGAATTACTAACTAAGACCAACAAATAATGAAGATTCAATGTTTTTTTTCCTGCTGTGTGGAATGGGGTAATAGTGTAAAGCATTCAGTCAGCTTTTGTCTCAGCCTTAACTAACATGTGTTTGTTTTTCCTTCCTTTGAATTTCAGGAATGTTTCTGGCTGACCTGATTGAGAAATACTTCGTCTCACCAACACTGTTCAGGGTGATCCGTCTGGCTCGTATCGGCAGGATCCTGCGTCTCATCAAGGGGGCCAAAGGAATCAGAACTCTTCTGTTTGCCCTTATGATGTCACTTCCTGCCTTGTTCAATATTGGCCTCCTTCTTTTCCTGGTTATGTTCATTTTCTCCATCTTTGGAATGTCTAACTTTGGCTATGTGAAATATGGGGCTGGAATTGATGACTTGTACAATTTTGAAACCTTTGGCAACAGTATGATCATCCTGTTTATGATCACCACGTCTGCGGGATGGGATGGCCTTCTGCTGCCTATTCTGAACTACCCTCCGGACTGTGACCCCTACTTGGAGAACCCTGGGACCCCTGTTACAGGAGACTGCGGCAACCCATCGGTGGGCATCTTCTTCTTTGTTATGTACATCATCATTTCTTTCCTGATTGTAGTCAACATGTATATTGCCATCATCCTGGAGAATTTCAGCGTGGCCACAGAGGAGAGTGCAGACCCACTCAGTGAGGATGACTTTGAGACCTTTTATGAAATTTGGGAGAAGTTTGACCCAGATGCCTGCCAGTTCATCACCTATGCCAAGCTTTCTGACTTTGCAGATGCACTTGAACACCCACTCCGCGTGCCCAAGCCTAATACCATTGAACTGATTGCAATGGACATGCCTATGGTGAGTGGAGACCGCATACACTGTCTGGACATCCTCTTTGCCTTCACCAAGCGTGTGCTGGGTGACAGCGGCGAGTTGGACATGTTGAGGCAACAAATGGAGGAGCGTTTTGTGGCTGCCAATCCTTCCAAGGTCTCTTATGAGCCTATCACCACCACTCTGAGACGCAAGCAGGAGGATGTGTCTGCCAGAATCATTCAAAGGGCCTACCGCTCCCATTTGGCCAGTCGGGGTTTTGTTTGTAAGCGCAAACCAGCCAATAACAAAGACGAGAATGGTGGTAACAATCAGGAACAAGAAAAGAAAGAGGGCACTCCCTCAACTGCCTCCCTGCCTTCTTATGACAGTGTAACCAAACCTGAGAAGGAGAAACAGGACGACAACAATGAGGGCAAAGGGGGAAGGAAAGAGAAAGGAAGAAACCAAAAAGACATCAGGGAATCCAAATGTTAGGCCACTGGATGTATATTCACAGTAATAACAAAAAGATGATATTAATGCGAGCGGAAACTCACCAACACAGTTGTACAGATTATTTCATTTGCAAGTCAGAAAAAAAAAGTCTTCAGTAATTTTGTTTACAGACTTCATTCTTATATTGATGCAGAGAGAAGCATCTTGGTCTGTTACAGCTTGAAGACTTGAACTTTAGTCAAACCAAACATAATCAGCATACTGTGCGACTCTGTATCTGGACTACTTAACAAAAAGTCAATCAAAACAGACTGCGTCCCATACCGCTCACTTATGACTGGTCTTACAGATAAGTCGAGCAAACTCTACACCAAGAGGTGAAATGGAAAAAACGACAACAAAAAAATCACGCGTCTGGATGCAAGGAATGGTTTTCTTATGGAAGACAGTACTGTGAAAGACAACAAGGATGCTGCTCGCTGCTGAAGAAACGCCTTCTTGCAGCAGCCACAGAGTGTTTCTGTGTCGTTTAATACAGAAATGTATAAAGGAACAAATGGCACACTCACTCTATGAGCAAACAGAAGGTGAGTGAAAGACACGAATAACAGTGTGAACTACTTTTTTGTTTTATTGAGCTAGAAATTGTTTTCGTTTTGTTTTTTGAGCAGCAAAAATGCAAACAGAAGAAAAAAAAGAACAATATCCAACAAGTTTGCCCATGTCAATCAACTCTTCTACTCATTTTATCTTTGTTATAATCCACATCGAAATCCTTTTTTTAACATGGGCTTTCACACCAAATTGAGTAAGTGTCTGTTTATTATGGAGTCAACTCGGGCCAAGGGCTTAACATTTACTCAGAAAGATTTCCAAACAAATAATAAGTGTGCTTGTTCAATGCATAGAAATGACTTGCATGATGGCATGTTTTGATCAGAAATCTTTGCATGAATTATCATAGTCCACAAGACACTAATACTCAGACCACGACGGTGGCTCGACTGTACGATCAAGACATGTTCGAAATTTGAAAGTTCAGAGTAATTTGTTCCACGAAGATAAGCGATGTGGGGAGGGGGGGGGAAGGGGGTTGATCAGCTTAAAATGGATCCAAATTTTAATCTCATTACTCAGCACATTTCAAATGACTGTGTTTAAACTTGTTGTCTCTATAGATGGAAGAATGATATATGTCGGGAAATGATAGCACCGTCAGTGCATCAGTGGGTGAAATAAAAAATAAATAAATAAGTAAATAGTTGCTGCTTTGGAGATTTTGAGTGTGTAAGATTTAGAGAGAGATATTTGTGTGTGTCATGGGACTGAAACGTTTGTTAATTTGGACAGAAATACAGTATTTTCAAGGGCACAGCACTTTGAAATGAAAAAAAAGGAAGCTTATATTTATAATTTGTATGCACCTATGTAATGCTCCATACCATCTGCCTTTATTTTTGTGTAATCGGGCATTGTGGGTATCCTGCTGTCAGTGGTTTGTGGGGATTTCACAGGTTTGGCAAACTCCTTTCTATTTCTAATGTTTCTCTGTGGGTGGTTAGACCTTTTCTGAAAGGGCTGACAAGAGTTTTGATCCTTGTTAGGTTAATTTATTTACACAAAATGTAAATGTATGTATCTTTTGTTGTTGTTGTTGTTGTTATTTTCTTTCAGGATATAATTTCCATGTCTTGCCTTTATTTTGTGCTTTTACTTTTAGAGAAACGATCTTGTGATGAGACATATTAGTAGTATCTTATTTTGTTGAGAAATGGGAAATAATGAATGGGTGATGAGAACATTGTGCGTGGAGAAGCCAAAGAGACCTGCCTTGTTATTCCTTGTTGCCCTTTGTCCATGGAGTGGGATCGGGTTAAGTATGCCCTGCCCAGTCTGTTTTCTCGCTGTCATTATTAGACAGAGACCCTAGAAATGTATGCAATGCTTGAAAAATTCATCCCTTTTTCTCAGGAGATATTATAAATGTACTATTATGAGCTCTGCAACAAAATGCAAGTGAATGTGATGGGAGTATTTATGAAATCATGTTTTACTCTTTTGTTTTATGCCATGTTGATGGACAATGATCTCGGCTGGCTGTTGCGTTGCTGACAGCCGCCCGGTCAGGGGCCACTTTAGTGCTTCCTGCTTACGATGCTTAGAACTATAAGGCTAGAAGCATCTCGATGAAACAGCTTCATTGTGCTCGCTTGTAATGGTGACGTTTTTATGAATAGTCATTATGGACTGCAGTCTGGTCTCAGTTAATTTCAGTAAATAAACTAATGTTCACCCTGATAGCAGCCAGATATAGGAAACACTGTGAGGAGATGTCATGAAAGTGAATTGGGACACGTTGGTTTGAGCAGCACTCTTAATTCCTTATGAAGCAGAAGGGGATTGTTCAGTGGATCGGCCCAGATTTCAGTATTCACCAACAACAAGTGCTCCGAGCATCTCATTTGCCATGTTTTTCTCCCTATTGCTCTACTGCATAACAAATACCAAATAATCAGGCAGACCACTGGATGCATCTTTACGGTGCTGTGAGCCTAGGCACCACACCAGAGCTTATGCACTTCCTGTCGTCCAGTGATGTCACTACCCGTTTATAAGCCGCTCCCAACCCCTCCTCATCCGTTTTCAAGTTCCATGGTCCAGTTGCTGCATGAAATCTCCAAAATCAGTGTGGGTGTTACCTTGAACCAAATAAAAAACGCTGAATGACAAACGTAAAAGCTACTGCCGTCCATTTTCTCCGAGACCTCCACGAATACGAGATTGACAGGAAGAAAGAGGGAAAATAAAAAATCGATACACATACATCCATTTGGGGAAAAAAAGAAATAAAATTCAGGCTTCGTTCTATAGGGCACAAACTGCAAAAGCTAAGACTGGACTTTTTAAGAGGCTATAAATAATGTATTATATTATTTTAACAGCATGTGTAGTTTTTTTGTAAATACAGGATTACTTAAAAAAAGAAAAACTACAGCTATTAATCTAACAGTAAATATTAATAACCGTAAATAGAATGGCTTCCAGCTGACACCCCTTGTCACACTTGTTAGGCTGTGACGCATTTGTTAGATGGAATAGGTTTTTTCTTTCTTTCGTTCTTTTTTGATTCACATTTCACAAAAAAGAGGGAAGTAAGCTAATCTATATTTAAAAAAAACTGATTGTAATAAAAACTGTATAAATTCATATGTGCATATACAGAGCTATATTACATATATATTATATATATATTCTACCATTATATATATATATAGTATATATACATTAGAACAGTGTCTGTAACTCAACTCTCCTGTCCACTCCTTGCATTGAGGTGAAACCAGAGCCCCAGAGTGTAACTGATCATGCTTCTTTCTTTGTGTGGTATGTTCAGAGAAATAACCAAAACTCTGGCCTGCCCAGGACTTGTGCATACTGGGTACCAGCGTACAATGCATGGTGTTGTACTGGCTGCTTGCTGAGAAATGTGGAGCCTGCCTTGGTTAGAGGATTGCACTACCAGCATACCCTTTTGTATATGTGTGACGATGTCTTGCCCCTACTTTCCTATATTGTAGACACAAGGTTAAACGGATTCACACACACGCACACTAACACCCTCGCACATGCGCACACAAACACGCACACACACTCACAGCCTTTTTGCAGGCGACTGCTGGTTAACCCGTGTGCCCCGACTACGAGCCACAGCTCACTCTGTGTGACGATTTCTTTTGCTTGTTGCAGCTCTAACCCTCCATGTTTCCCGTTAACACACTGCTGTAGTTTTGGAGCTCACCTTTAATTTCGCTGTCACTTTCAATATGATATAATAATAATGATTTTAAGGGTTAGTTGTCTTAACTGTCTGTGTGTTTGTTTATGGTGCAATATCTCTTAACGGCACGTGCCTTTTTAGCTTTCTATTTAGTCTGTCGATAAATCAGCAATGAGAATCTCAACACCCATCGAAGTGAATCAAAACGGAGCACGATAGACGCAATGTACTGAGTTCGTAAATAACCTGAACTGAAAAACTCACCACCTAGATTAGACTGTCTGGACTAACATCTTGTAGAGTCATGTAGTAGAAGTGCTCTCTGTGTGTTCTGTTTACTGGCTCTCGAGCTAGCAAAAGAACAGCTTGCCTTTTGTTTTACACTACAGCTCATTTCCTAATGTTGGTTTACCAAATGGTATATGAGGCCATTCTTTTGTAGCATGACTGAGATACATTTCTTTTCTTTGAAACTACTTTAACTGAAAAAAACCCTTTTGACTGTCATTGTCTCTTGCCACTAATACAGTCAGAAAGATAACACGTGTCGCACAACCACATTGGAAGTTAAATGAGAATCAGTGAAAGAATGTCTTCATTTGAGCACGAATCTATTTCCAAACAATAAAGCAGCCTTCCAGTTATTCCTCTGGCTGGTGTCATTTTTGGTTCTACAATGCATGGTTCTCATACAAAGTCTGACGATGTATCGCTGCATCATAATCTGTGTTATCTATTTAAGAAAATTACTGACACTTTAAAGAAGGTAATTTTGTTTGTTGCTGATGATCACAAAAATCGCAAGAAAGGGAATGTGTGCAGGTTGCAGTATACAGGGAGGGACAGAGACTACATTAAAGAACTCTGTAGTTTGTGTAGTTGTGTGAACGAGAACACAGCCTTCCTGCAGGAGTACGCATATAACGTCGTTTCTGTTTGTGTTACCTGAATGCGACTCTTTGATCTGCCGTGTTTTGGGTGTGTCACGGTGAAACTGTAGTAAGATGGCAGGTGTGTGCTTGCATGTGCCCCCCCGCCCTCCTCCTCCGTGTGTGTAAGGTGGTGCACTGAGTGAGGCAGGCGGGTGGTGGGGCGGGGAGGAGAGAGACAGCACTGCAGTGCAGATAGATGAATGCAGTGGCCTGGGCTGAGTCAGCAGCATGTTCCCAACAGGCTCAGACTGTACAACTCGCTGCATAGCGCCTCCTTGCCCACAGCAAGCAAAGCAGAGGGATCTACTTCAAGAAGACGAGGAGCACATGACAACAGTGAACATATGCACACGCGAGTGAAAAGCAAGTCGGCCGCCGAGGATGTAAGCGTCACCTTCTGCCACACATGCTGCAACTGTCTGAATCGTGCATCTTGCAGACCACTGCTACTGCCATTTTAATAACAGAGTGTGCGAAGCTCATTTCCACACTGTTTCTCTAAATGTGTTGCTTCCCTCTGTAGATGTTGTAAAATAACCCAGGTGCATTATAATACTGTACAGTGCAGAGATTTTGTTTCATTTCTTCCCTTTAGGTTTCTGTCCTCCTTGCATCCTAATGTATAGAAGTGCATCGCTGCAGAGGTAGGACGTGGATTAAGTAGAACATTGGTCTGATCTGTCAGGTTGTGTGTTGTGGGAACAGATTTATGAGGGAGAGAGGGAGGCTGTGAGTGTCTGTAAGGGGTTGCACGGAAAGGGATTCAGCTGTAATCTGCAATATCTCCTTCACCAAATGTGGGCGAGGACTTCTTTTTCATATAAGAGATTTGTTTGTCAGCTCTGTCAACTTCCAGCTTTAATTGCCCTTCTTACCTGACTGAAAAAAGACTGATTGTAAAACTGATATTTAAAGCTCAATTTGGCCGTTTTTACTCCCACTCCCTGATTTATTAATAGAGTGCAGCACCCTCTCTGCCTTCTGGGTTTTGTTTTCCATCCCTGCCCCTGTCTGCAAATATCACAGGCTTTGACTACTGTATTTATATCTGTAAAATCTCTAGATGGCTTTGGCATACTTCAAATGCCTTCTTACAGATATCTAACACCCTCTAGTGGGCTTTGTTGAAACACCACTTCCACAGATTTAGGGATGGGTAAAAGTTAATAATATAAGGCACTTTAAGTTACTTTCTGGTGCTCTTATGGTGTATGGCGAGATGTTATCTCTCAGGCTGTTAATCCAGCAGTTCCCAATCAAGACGGGATCTTGCCGAACAAAATGAAAAGGAGCAAGTGGAGCCCTGGCAGTCATCTCCAATGGCTTCACAGACAAATTATTGGGGCAAAATTAATTTATTTTTTTTTTTAATGTTTAATTTTGTAAAATTCAATTAAAAGATTAGATGTAACTTTTCATTTTGAAATGGCTCATTTTTGTGGGGACTTATCACAAATATTAGATATTTAATGTTTGCCAGCTCTAAAGAGAAATACAGCCTCTTCTAGAAGAACTACTCATTTCATCATTTTAACACTAACTTTTTCACTTGACTGTCTGAATTTCAAAGGAAGTTTGACCATATGTGATTCAGGAAAACCCAAAAAAGGTACAGTTGTCCTACTGCACAGGTCTCTACTTGGACTGAAGGAGGAACTCTGCAGAAACGAACTGAAGAAACTAAAAAAACTGGATGATCCAAAGGAGAGAGTAATGAAATGGATAAGCATAATGTATTCGCACTTACTACGTTGTATTTTTCTCATTCTTTTAATGCAAATTTTTTAATCACAGTCTGTGCTTGCCATTCTGCAGCCATACGTTTGGTTAATTAACATACTTTTACAAATAAAGCCAGACAATAACCGAAAAGAAACTATATAAACTGAACTTGCAGGAGTAATAATGGCTTTCCTATTTTTATATTGAGAGAAGGTATATAAGGCAACTATTAACATTCAACGTGGTGAGAACCATCTCAAGGAGACCCTGTAGGTGTCACTGTTATACTTGTTATGTGGTGTAGCTGCTGCAGTGTGAGTGTCATTAGAAGGGCAGAGACAGCAATTCAAAACAGGGGTCATGTGCTGATTTTATTTTATTTTTTTCGTTTGCTGTCTTATTCTTCACCTGTGATCACAACTGTGATCTCAAATGCGGAGATATAACTAAGTCAGGTTAATAATTTCACTGATTTTAATGCTAAATTTGAGACATAACATAGCTGAATTGAAATAGTTAAATAGGAACAGAGGTTAGCTTTGTCGTAGATGAATGGACTAACAGTTGCTGTCAGGAATATGGCTTAAGGTGTGTTAAAATACAATCCTTAATCAGAAGCAAAACAAAGAGAGTTTTGCTGTGACTGACAATGACTGACGTTGCAGCAGGGCGAGACTTACTGTGGCTGAGAGGACAAAAATTGTCTGTGACATGTCAGCACAGGCTCACTGCTCTCTTGAGCTCAAGTACATGACATAAATGATGATATGGTTTCTTACAACTTGAAAAAATACAAAACATTAAAATATCAATAGAGCTCACACTACTGATGAAAGAGGAGACTTGTATTGAAAGGTAGAAGAAAGGTGATTTAGGTGGCTTTAAACGTGGTTTGTTTGTTGGTGCCAGATAAGCTGGTCCGAGTATTTAAGAAAACTGCTGATCTTCTGGGATTTTCCCACATGAATATCTCTAGGGTTTACAGCGAATGGTCAGGAAAACCAAAAATATCCCGTGTGTGACAGTTCACTGAGCAAAAATGCCTTGTTGATGTCAGAGGAGAATGGCCAGACTGCTTTGAGCTGATAGAAAGGCAACAGTAACTCAAATACCAAGGTATGCAGAAGAGCTTCTCTGCTTCTCTGAATGCACAGCTCATCGAATCTTGATGGGCTACACCAGCAAAAGACCACCATGTGTCAGCTGAGAACAGGCATCTGAAGCTACAAAAGATGGGAAAAAATGTTATTTGGTCTTATTCAGATGGTAGATTTAGAGTTTGGCGTAAACAACATAAAACATGGCTCCATCCCACCCTGAATCAGTGCTTTCTTTACACTGGTGGTGGTCTTATGACCCATCCATCCGTTTTCTTCTGCTTTTCTATACCAGGGTTGCAGCGTGACTGCAGCTTATTTTCCTTTACATTTTGGTTATTCTGCACAAAATCTCAAACTGGTTTCTTGAGCACAAGAATATCTTCACAGTACCAGACAGAAGAATGAGCAAGGTGTAACTAATGAAGTGGTCGGTGAGTGTGTGCTGGGTTTTGAAGGTTCATTTTCAGAATCAATTCCTTTTGTCTTCCAATGTGTATCTAATGCATTTGATGGTTTGGTGATTTATTCCTACAACAGGACAACGACTTAAAGCACAACTGCAAATTACACAAGAACTATTTAGAGGTGAAGCAGTTAGCTTCTATCTCTAATGAGTGACTAGCACAGTGACCGGATCTTAACCCGGATAAGCTGCTGTGGGAACAGCTTAACCACGTGGCACCCAAGAACTGCCCATCAAACCAATGCAACTTGTCAGAGGCTTTGCAGAAACTGTGGAGTTAGATACACCCGAATCAAATAACAGAGTAAGAAAAGTCTAACGTTTCCTTAGCTGATTTTAAAAGAGAGACAGAAAGTAAACGGATGCTTTTTACGAGCCAATACTTTCTTTAACTGTACGTCAACTTAATGTCACTTTGCCAAGAGAAAAGAGAAATATGCCACTGCCAGGCTAAAATATCACATTGAACCCAGTAAGTATATTTACTGCAGTAACCCATCAGGTCATCATCATAGCATCATTTAGTGAAAGATCAGTACATTCAAACCTTAAAACATTTTTAATTTCCACAGACAAAAAGAGAAAACTCAAATATTTTTCTTTTTTTTTTTTTTTGGTATAATATCTTCATTTCCATGTCACAACAGTCTCTAGTGAGGTAGACTATAACAGGTCAACAGTTTGAAACGCTGGTCTTTAAACTGGTATGTGAAATGACATGAAATAAATACTTCCATGTACAAGGTCTTCAACATGAGGTAGAAACGGTTACAGAGAATGTACAAGATACAAGAAAAGTACATGTGAATCACAAAGATAACAGTGAAGTCTGATTTTAGATCTGCGAAGGCCAACACTGACTCCACTCCCTTCACTGAATCAGAGTAACACAAAGAAAAGGCAAATGCTTCCCGCAATGTGTCTTTTGAATGCAGAGCACATCCTGTGTTGATTCACTTGTTGTAACCAAATACTTGTAAAAACCTGGGGTAAGCATAAATCATGATTTACTTAGCACCTCTTTCCTAATCTGAATTTCTTTTCTGAAGAGCCTCTACTTTTTCCCCTTAAACCGCATTCTGAGTAAGATAGTAAAAAAGCACTAAAATGTCTTTTAATTACACTGAATTTCCAATTAGTAAAATTAAAGGGGAATCCATTCACTTTAGATTTGAAGTTCAGCTTTGTAACAACCTAGACATCTCAAGCTCATGTTTCATTTGCCCTCCTGCTTCCACTTAAACAGATTTCTACTTTAAACTGCCAGTTGTGACCAATCACACCTGTTTCTATCACCGCATGTGATTGAGAACATTTCTGCCAATTTATGACACCAGAGTTTGTTGATATTACCTCTTTCACTCTGGTGGCTTGTGGCTCTATCCAGTTGGTGCTTAAGGGTCAAAACTGAAGTAGGAGTTTCCTGA